TTTTCATCGTTTCATGCATAATAGCAATGAGCTTTGAATTATTACAATCGCTTTTAACATGCACCATAAATACAACAACAACAACAACAAAAACAGAGATGAAAACGATGGACACAACAAGAAGAAGAAACGTCTTTAGAATTTCTTACGCACATTCACTGTGCACTGACTGGGGCAGTCAGTCAGAATTGAAATACAATCGGAATAAATATGCATAGAAGATGAGTTAGAAGAGAATAAAAGCATAAGAGGATGAATGAAAGAGGGAGACATAAAGTCAGAGAGAGATAGAGAGAGAAGACGAGATGTCCATCATCCAAAATGATATATCCAATGTGTCTGGTGACTATCGATCAATGTGAAAACGTCATGCAATCACAAAAAGATGCCTAGATCATGGCAAATATATTCAATGATTGTGTGCAATGATGATGCAAAAGGAATCGAGAGCGAGAGAATGCAACAAACTATGCCTAATGCAATATATCGTAATCAAATGGATTGCACAAACGTGCAGGAGTGAAATACATATCTTTGATATCTTTGTTGCAATTGAAATATGATTGCCAATACAAAATGGATTGATGGAATCGTTTATTAGTGCACAATTTTTCGTTTCGTTTGCCTCTTCCTTTTATTTTTTGTACTCCATTTTAAGTGTTTCTCATTGCACTCATCGTCAAATACTTCACAATTTCTTCTTCTATGTTATTTTCTTTTTCTTTGTTTGATGCTTTTTTCCGTTTGCATTGATTAATATCAAATCAAGGCGATCGGTGTGTTGTTGCTTTTTTATCTCTCTCCTGTATTCATTCTGGTGTATTGTTTGATCTGTTGCTTTGCTTTGATTTCATTTGCGTTGTTATTGCTTGGTAATGCTACATAATATAATCACACCAAGCATCCCAATTTTCAAAATCACTTCGAGTGATTTTTTCACCCTGAATAACAAAAACAATCATTTGTTCGTGTTGTCGTCATCACTTCTCCTGCTCTCGCACTCTTAGTAACTCAGGTGCTCGCATTTCCATTTTGAATAACAGCACGTACTGAACTGAAAATAAGTGAAATAATACGATTAACCGAACGATTCGTCGAATGAAAAGAGACCTTAAGAAACTAAAAACACAAGCAAAAGAAACAGAGAGAGAAAGATAAAAAAATGATCAAAAGTGAGAAACAAAGGCCACTCTTCAATATCGAAAATTACCAAAGAAGTGTAGAGTAGAAAAAAAAATCGATTATACACATCAGAATTTGTACAGTCTAACAATAAGTTTACAAGTGATTTATTCTTATTTTCGTGCTTTTTTCTTCAACATGAATCAGAGAATCTGGTTTGAAATACACACATTCAATGCAACAGATAATTATATACATTTTCACGAAGTGCATCTTATGGATATTGGACAATGAGCGTGCACACACCGTGAGTGATGCACAAGATGCATTACACCTCTTTTCCCATCACAGTATATTCACTCAACGATCACAGGGCAAATTATGTAAATCTCTCGACAGCAATTTTTTTGAGAGCATTTCAAGTGTTCAATTGTTTAGTTTTATTACTTCGTTTTTCGTTCTCTCTCTCTCTCTCTCTGATTTTTGATTCAATATTTGTGGCCAGTGGAGAATATGTCAGAAAAAAATTGCAGCACTAAATATTCTGTTCCCATATCGAATGCGGTGCGTTTCTTAATCGTTTGACCACAATTTTCGATATAATTATTTTTCTATACTATAAAATCGTTATGTGTGTGTACCACACAAATTATTAAATCCATGAAAACCCGAAAATTTCTCGTTTTTTTGGGTTCATTGAAAGGAATGCTTTCATAATCAATGCATAACGCATCCCACTTGGATGAGAAATGCACTTATCACATTACACCGCATCAATTATCCAATCTTGTATTGCATTTATCCAAATATGTTGAACGCAAAACATGCGAATAAAACAAACAAAAATTACGAAAAATAAACCAAACATTTGAATGACGAAAACAATGGCAAACAGCGATGTGAACCGATAACGCCAACAATCATTTAAAATTATTATACGGCTCTTTGACTATGTGTCAGATATTTAAAAAAAATGTGTGCGGAACAACACACAGATTTGAATGAGAGAACGAGCAAGCGAGCGAGCTTTACACATTAAACAGCGAGAATAATGCAAGCGAAACGGCCATTCTGAGCCACAATAAGTGGCGACGACCAAATAATACTAAATAGACCATTGACACGAACATGATATGATTCGAAATATAAATTACATACGAATTGGAATTTTTGCTGTGTGTTTAAGCTGTTCATTTTGTTTGTTATTGTTGGATGAACGGTGGCGGTGGTGTTGGCGACTTTGCCAGTTCGGTCTTCGTTGCGTATATAATAACCAACATCACATTCTGCTGATCTTTCATTGCTCATACGGACATACAAACACACTCTCTCGCTCTCTCTCCTTTTTTTACTTTTCACGAGTCTCAAGTCTGAACAGACAATCGCACATAAAACGATCTTCATAAAAACGTTACAAGACAGTAAGAATGCGACTAATTCAGAGAAGTTTTGCGCATTTATGAACGCATGGAAGAATAAACAATTCACATGCACAGCCATGTCTGGCGCACCACACACTATTGCTTCCAAATGCATGTGACTATTTGCATGTGAGCATGTGTGTGTGTGTGTGTGTGTGTGTGCAGAAAAAAGGGAATATGCATATTTGCATTTATTTCATTTAGCGTGTTTGCAATGATATTTACTCATTCGATATCAAATATTCTCACTTAAATATGCAAGCAAATCTTTACTTTTTTTCGACTATTTCATTTCCATCTCTCTGTCACTCATGCACACTTTTCGATTCATTTGATGTTTATTGTGACCTTTGACAATTATGTACTCCTCTCTGTCTCTCATCGTTTTCCTTTGATTCTTTGTTTTGTTTTGCGTTCTTAAGATATTTTGATTGAAATGGATCGCAGATAACTTTAACGGCATGTGGTCAAAATTGGATTGGATGATCAACAAAAAAAGAGTTGAATTCGTTTACTATGCGAATGATCTATGCGCTCTGTTACGCTGCACAGTGTCAATCGCTTGTCGACTAAACGAGCTCAAATGGACTTTTGCATATATTATTGTGGTTTTTTTTTCTTCAACTATGGTCGATGTCGGTGGTCCTCGAATCAAATAAATGAACGATATCGGATAGTAACAGAGCGATCAAATTTAATCTCTGTGTATTTGGCGTGCGTGCTTCCGTGCACCAGCAAGCAAAATAGAGGAATAAAAATGATAGTTTTAATTCGAAGTTGTTGACGCGAGTACAAAACGAATTGAAGAGCGCATGCGACAAAAGGCTTTCCTTGCGTCATCGCTTTTTATCTATTCAAACCCTCTCGCTCTCAATTCAATGAGCGCAATATCCTATTATGATGCTCATTGTCATTGTTATGCCAGAAACTATTCTCTCTCTCTCTCTTTCAATTGCAGCACATTTGACCCACACTTTGATCGAAATCAATCAAGAGATGAAGTTGCAAAAGATACAAATGTCGAGAGCGACGTTTGAGTGATAATTTACAAGTGATATTGTTTGCATTTTACTTTCACGAAATTAATTCGACACAAACGCACAGACTCCGTTTCATTTCTTCATTTTTTGGTCTTTCATTCAAATTCCGTTCGTGTCATGTGTGTCTCTGTGTTTGTATATTCCGTTTTTTTTAACCGAATACGAAAAAAAGAAGAATGTTTGTCGTTTTCGTTTATGTTTTTTCGTGTTGTCCCGTTTTCTCTTTCTCCTTTTGCTCCTCTCTACGATCGTTGTATGCGTCCCCGATGTATGTTGTACTCTTTTCCGTTCTCTTTCTTTCTCTTCTCCACTCTCCGGCACAACGAGATCCGTTTTGTTCTATTCTATTTTATGTTAGTTCTTTGTGCAGTTTTCTCTCTATCTCTACGTATTCGTATGTGTGTGTCTGTGTGAGTGTGTGTATACGTTATGTGAATGGTGATTTTTATTTTTGTGTTCATCACATTTTCAACAACGTTTCTTGTCGTCAGTACGTTTTTTCCCTTTTGGTTAGTTGGTGTATATTTTTTGTTTGTTGCTCTGATCTCACTCTGTTCATGTTGTTGTTTTTGGACATTTTTCGAGACTCACTCTCACTCATTTGGGTCTCTCAATCTCTACTGACTCAATGAGTTAAAAACCTGTGCGCGCACATGTACAACTATCACTATACAAAGCAAATATATCGAATGAAACGGCTTGCTGTCGCGTAAACTTGCGCATTTCTTTATGTGTATTTAAATACGATCGTATATTATATACTAATTCTAATCACGTTAAAATTTATTTCATCGACAACGATGCGCGCAATTCATTCCGTTCAATCCCAACGATTCTGACAACTGAAATAATTATGTGGTGTTTTGTTTGTTCAATTTTTTTGTGTGTGCACTATCAGAGATTTTTCGGTTGCATTACACAATTTTACAATTATTCATGTGTATTTTTTCTTTCAATTTTCATTCAGTGACTTTGTGCATCGATACTTTTCTATCGACCGTCGTATAAATAAATAACCATGCGTTTCCTTTTTTTGAATATTTACATTTTCTTCGCGTTTTTATTTCCTCCCGGTTCCTTCTTTCATGCATTATGTGATAAATTTAAATTTACATATTTGTAAGTTTATTTCTGTGTGTGTGAGAGTATCTTCTTCTTTCGCTTGGTGTCCTGCAAACGACCGTTCATCCGTTTTGTTTGTTTTCCGTTCGATTTTGTTGAAGGAATTTATATTTCAGTCTCGTTTTGCCAAAACAACCCATCATTAAAATTGATTGATTTTCGGTTGAATCTCCTCTCTCATTGTCTTTTTACATTTTCGTTTCGATATTTTGTTATTTCCGAGAATGAATCGAGGAAAAAATAACAAATGATATTTAATACATATATATATATTTTGTCTCTCCCTCTTTTACAGGATGAAATCTCAGGAAATAGTCGCGTATTAGCAATTTGTACATAGACAAGGGAAAACATACAAACCGAATAAAAAAACAAACTCGTTTCGAACTGATCACACAAAATCTAATCGGAAACAATACACGACACAGAGTGCGTTTGATTTGGCCAAAACACAAAAAGGCTACAAAACCGAAAACACCAACCAATAATTGCAACGACAACGAGTTCCAACAGTCTGAACGAATGCGATATGGAATGTTTGGGGAGAGAAATCAAACGGAAATTTTTGAAACACTAAATATACTCTCTTTTATCACCGGAACAATTATCAAGTCACATAGCGCAGAGAGCAAAAGTGCGCGCCAACAAAACCTGTGAGTAGGTGAAAAAGGACACGTAAAAAATAACGTTGTTGTTATTCTAGTGCAAAAATTTGCTAAAACACGAAAATTGTTTTAGAGTGAAAATAGCGTGTAACTGTGAATATCCGGGGTGTTTGTAATATTTAGTGATCAAAAAACCGTGTGTGTCGATTAGAAAACACAAAAGAAAAAAAAAAACGGAAAACGACGAAATAGAAGAAGTGCATACACGTTACCCCGACCGAAGAATCAAAACCGCAATCAAAAACACGCGCTGACAGACTTCATTACACAACAAAACTGTGCGAGGTAAACATATAACAAACACATTTTTTTACGTTCAACCTTCGAAAGAAGTTTTTTTATTTTTAATTCTAAATGAAGTGAAAATGGAAAATAGCCATCAAAAGCATCGAGTGACACAGAATGAGTGGATGTTTTTGAAATTTTGTTGGTAATTTTTCACCACAATAGAGAAATTCAAAACGTTTAAAGCGTGTATGCAAAAAATTAAACTGCCATTTCGATTTCATCAACATTTTACATTCACACGCAGAACGTATAGAGTTATTGCATTCTAAACGAAAAAAAACTTGTGCAAAATATTAATCGAGAAAAACATTGGAAGTTTTTTATTTCTTTGTGATTTAATAAAAACAAAAGTGCCAATCACAAACATAACCGAGAGAAAGAGAGAAATTTGTCACGTCATTTAAAGTGAGTGCATTTTTTTAATACGGAGTAGTGCACTTTTCATTTTAAAATTTCATCTTTTTTTGACAATATCATATACCTACTCGATTCTGAGTCATACAAATTTCATCAGTTACTAAGTATAGAAAAATGTAATGCCAGTTGTTCAGCGATAATCATAGAGAAATTATATTGCAAACGAGACCATTGATTAAATCATCAAGAGATTAAGTGGTTGAATGAGAAAGAAACCCGTGAAATTGACACCGTATTACGAACAACAACTCAGGAAATGTAATCGAATTACAATTGCTCACCAACTCTCATACAATCGCATACGCACACACTCACGCCAATCAATTGATGTGGCAAGTGTGAAAAAGAGAGACGAAGAATTGATATATACCAGATTATTGCCATATTATTAGGATAATAAATCGTATTTTATCGGTATCTAATCACGGAAAAACAACAATTCAATTGGATGTATTTTAGCCAATCAATACTATATACACCAAAAAGCACCAACAACCAAGTAATTAGCAACAAAAAAAGAAACAAGTTTCACGCAAATAAAGTGTTTATTTGATAGTTTGTGCTGAATAACTTTTTGTTTGTCGTTGACGAAGAAAGAAATCACTCTGAACGCGTTCAATTGACTGCTGAAATGAGCACAAGTTGACTAATTGAAATTAGTGTGCAATTGCCAGATACTCATATACACACACAAACATCATTGTAATCAATGCTCTTAGTTGGAATATGGGCTCAATAAAGTGAGTATTAATTGACCAAAAACCGACGAAAATCAATCTGAATAGTTTTCGTTAAATGTTGGCTCGGCTATATTTTGGTGAGGATTTCTTTTTTCTTCTTCTTCTTCTTTTAAAACATTTGTGTCGATTGATGCGCAAGATTTGCTGTATGAATAGGATGATAAATTTATTGACTATGTTCACGATTCTTGCGTCCATTCAAACGATTTGTATTTTTTTACCTTTCTATGATTATTTTCGTACGAAATTTAATGTAATTTTTGTTGTTGTTATTTTTCTTTCTCCTTCTGAAAGATGTTTTGTTGAATGTCAGATATGTGATGTTGTTGTTCAAGTATATAGAAATAGATTAAAATCAGACAAGAAGACAAAAAAAGCAAAGAATATGCAGTCCGATGGTTAAATGAATAGAGACGGTGAGAGTGAGATTGCCGAAGTGTTGTTTCAAGTTTTGATTTTCCATTTGGTGCGCCTTTCTTTCCACTTTTTACATGCTTTCACACCATCATACTGGCTGCCATTTTACCCGAAAAGTGTTTTTTTCCTTGTAAGGCTCTCTGTGCGCACTTACATCCGATAGATTCTATGTTTTTTTGTGTGTTAAAGAGAGAAGCTACCCTGGAAGAAACACACAAAGAGCATAGAATCACCAAAAAAAACACATATTGAAAATTCCAAAAAATCATTAGACCCTTAACACTGCACAATCGTCTCGTTTACTCTAATACTCGTCCCAGCTAAAAATGTGCTTCGGTGCTGCTGCTGCTGCTGCTGCAGCAGGTCAGATGCACAATAATCTTCCTTTCTCCCAGCATGTTGAACAGGCGCATATGAATAATGCAATCTATGTTACGTCGAATTTCATGTCAGATAGTTATTTTTCGTTCGTTTTCTTCCACCACAGTATGCACACACATTCCATGCATCTTGTAATGCACATGATATATAGACCAAAAACTGTTACGACCGATCTCTCTCTCTCTCTTGCTCTCTTGATATATTAAATTTACACATTATAAACATTTGAGAGTTGAAAAAACTTCCTTTCATGTTCGGCTGCATTTGCCTTGAACGATTTTGCCTCTTTACACTTTCAGCCAATAAACTATGTGAGAAATACACAAAAAATTATTAGAAAGAGAATCAAAAAGTCTAACAAAGGCTTACAACAAAACAAAACATAATGACTGTGCCGTACGTGTGTGTATTTGTATCGAAAAAGAGAAACAGAGAGAGAGAGAGAGAGAGAGAAAGAGTGAGCAGAACATTGTCGCCGGTATGAACGGAAAAAAATAATATAATGCTTATCTTAAGAAAAGAAGGTGCGCAAAAACACATTCGACCAACGAAACAGAAGAATTAAAAAAAAACATTGTGAAAATGTCTCTATCATTTCTTGTTTTCTTTTTTCTTTGTGCAAAATGAAATTGCACAAAAAAAGAGAGCTGAAACGGTAGACCAAGACAGACAGAGAGAAAAAGAGAGAGCGAAGGAGCGTATGTGCTCTATTCATTTTGTGATTCATTTGTTTGGTGCGTTCGTTAAGACCATTTTGTACGGTCATTGTTAAAATAGTTTATTGGGAAAACAGGAAAATAAATATTGGCATGTCTTTTTTTTATTTGACACTCTCTGTGCATGCTGTTTTTTGTGAAGGAATAAAAGCTTCGCAGAAAAAAACAAAACGAAATAACCGAATCCCATTCCGCACGAAAGACCTTCGCAAACATGCACACAATCTTATTTCCCATTTTATTTTTTTAAAGAATCGACGCTTGGAATTTGTGTGTTTCTTGAATTGAACATGATTGAATGGACAAAATAATGATTTTTTTTTATTCTTTGCTTTACTCTCTGACTCTTTACGGATTTTGCTCGTTTCGCATTAACGCTTGTTACAATGAACAACCACACACCTACTCTGGCTCTCTTCGCAAATCGAACAAAGATTAAATAACACGGAATCAAGAAATTGTAACACCTTGCAAGGACAATATCGTTCAGTATATGCTTTTTCTGAGTGGTTTTCTCTCTGTGCGCGTCTCTCGTTTATCGTTGAATGAATATGGCCATTGAAACGATACAAAAAAATGCGTTTGATTTAAAACGAACTACTCGCAAATGGCTCTAATATCTCTGACCAATATTCCATTTTCATTTTCAATGTCTAGTTCAAACATTCATGAAAAAAATATAATAATCAAACTGTACCCGATTACGATTTTTTTTACCATCCGTTCGTTTTTGGGTAATTTTCAGTGATAATGATAGAGAGACGAAACACTTGTGTAAATACCATTTATCATCGGGCCTGAAAAGGGTCAAGATGAGTGAAAAAAAAGAATAACTCTCTATATATATAACACATTCACAAATATTAATGAAATGAGGTCTTTTAAGAAACAAGAAGAAAAAGCGAGAGAAGACGATGAAAAAAGCACACACATTTTTGTTAACAATTTTAATGGATTCGATGCGATATGTAATTGAACAAACGCAACGGTGTGTCTATACAAATGCGAGAATTAGAAAACAAATAAACTCTCTTCTGGGCGACGTAAACAAATGCCAGACCCGAAACAATTATGTATTATACGCAAAGGAGCAAAACTATAGACTTCTTCATTTTTTTCTGAAACAAAAAAAAATCGAAACAAAACCGTCTTTCAAACAGACGAAACATACGTTTTCTTATATGATATTGATCAAAACATAATAGATAAAAAAATACGAGAATAAAAATAATATTAGAAATGCAAAGTCAATGAAGAAGTAGCCAGCAGTTATAATGACAATCTTTGATGCAAAAGGAATATATGTAAATCGTTTTATATATATATATATATGATGATTGGCACAGCAGACCGAAAATAAGACATTTGATAAACAGACGAGAACCAAAGAGAAACATGAAAATTAATGAGAAGAAACAATAAAAAAATCCGCTGCATCGACCACCACCGTGTGTCTCTTTTTTTCTCTCTCTCTCTCTTAGATGTTGATCCTCATTTTGAGCCCAAAACAAAATACGAATGTTATTCGATGATTGAAAAATATAAAACGCCAATGTCCAAATTAACGAAAATAAAACGATGTGGCTAGTTAGCGAATACATTTACGTGGTTCGGTAAAAGATGTTCTAATAAATTTTGATTAAATGCTTGCGCATATTGATGCGCTTCACATATCATGAGGTCTCTACATGGAGGACGACAAGCAATCATAATATGAGATTCTTTTTTTGGTGTGTATTTTTTTTGTTAGTTTTTATTTCACTTGGTGATTTCGGGTGATCATAAATTAATGGAAAATGAAATCAAAGTTGTTTCACGATCGAAATAAAATCACATGTATCCTGACGGGCGTTCATCGCTTTTGGAAATGTCTGTTCGTTTTCAATCGAGAGAATAAAAAAACCATATTAATTAACGTTGAGTACGTTTTCGAGACTTTGTTCTTCTTGTTATTTTTTTCCCTTCAATTTCTATAGCTTTTCAAATGCATTAACGATGAGAATGTCGAACATTTTCTTCTTATTTATATCGACCATTTGTGTCCATGAATCAATACAATTAAAAGAAAAAAAAATCATGTGAGAAAATAGAGACGAAGTAACCAGCTCGAATCGAAATGATTTCGATGGGACTGAGAGAGTGAGAGAAAGAGAGAGATCAAAATAGAAAGGAACAGAAATAAACGACGAAAAAGAAAAAAATAACACATAAATAAAATAGTTGAGGATCCAAAAACCAGATCTATACCTGCTCTTTTATGCGTATACACTTTGGCCTCTTTTTGCCTATTCATTGAACAGAACACATATACCCTGTTTCTATCTCT